CCCTATACAGAATTTTATTGTTGTTAACAACCATTTGATCAATAAATATGAGAGATGCCCTCTCTAAATAAATAAATCAAATAAATAAATAAATAAATAGATAGATAGATAGATAAATAATAAATGAATGAATGAATGAATGAATGAATGAATGAATAAATGAATAAATGGATTCTCAAATATCTCAAACACACAGCAAATCAAGTGATCTGGCAACCCTGGGCCCCATTCCTACCTGCCGACCAGTGGCTAGAAGTAGAGCAGAAGATGCTGCGTGAGGGCCGGAATCACACTGCCTGCTTCACTCACTCAGGGTCCCTGCCCAGCCCCTGGAGACTTCTGCTTTGCCAAGAGCTATTCTGGGCACTGGTGACTACAATCTACCAGCTCTGCCTTTGAGAGAGAGAGGAATGCTGAACACAGATAGATAATTTATTATGGGACAGTCACTATTGCTTTACTTTAATTACTTTAATTCCATCAATGTGTATAATTGATAACAACCTTATCAGGTAGGATCTATTGTTAATATTCACATTTCACAAATAGGGAAACTGAGGCACAGAGTGACTATAACTTGCCCAAGGTCACAGAGCTGGGAAGTGGCAGAGCCAAGATTTAAAGTCAAGCAGTAAATAAGTAAGTACAATGCAGTGTGGTCAATGTTAAAGCCTCGGTGTACACACTGTGCACTGGATAGATAACTGGGCAGGCTCCCCGAGGAAAGTGCCATCCACGCCAAGCCTGAAGGAGGGGGGATCTTATCAGACCCAAGCGAGAGGCTGCGAGGCCAAGAGATCGGCACGAGCACGGTGGAGGCAGGAGGACTGGTGGCGGCGGAGCAGGAGCATGGGTCCCTCACGAGGCGGGTGGGCTCTGTCTCCCACAAACAGTGGGCTTTTCAAATTCTCAATCTGCTTCCCATGTACCCTTGGTCAGAAATGACTGAAGAGTGTGTTTTACCACAAAAAGGAGAAGTAATAGCTTGCTGGTCAGCCCAACTTGTGAACAGCACTTCTGTGACCAGGGTAATGTGAACACAGATGCTGAGCACAGCACCATTCTGCTGTGAGGACAGGGCACGGGAAAGGTGGCTAGTGGTGGGGACAGAGGGAGGAAAGGCACTTAAATCCCACCTTCCACAGGGGATGTAGGCAGATAATAGCTACAACTGGCTAGTCAGCAAGTAGCCACACAAAATCTAGAGGCAACCTAAATTATTGGCTAAGATATGTTAAACTGATCTAAAACTGCCCCTTAAGGGACAAAAAATGGGGGGTGGGGGTGTCAGGTAACAGGATGGGATGGATACCAGTAGGGTTTTGTTTATTTTGGTTTTTGCCTTTTTTAATTGTGGTAAAATGCCATGGTGGAGTTTTGGGCAGAGGCCTGACCTGATCAAATCTAGGTTTCACCAAACAGTGAACTGGGCTCCACAGTGACTTTGTGGGAGGATTCAGGGACCACTGGCCTGTTAAGTGTGTGACCATCAGGGGGCACTGACCCCAAGAGCCTTGATGGGACATCAGCCTTTCCTTCTATAAATGAGGCTGTGTTGCAGGGGATGATGATGCATGACTGGCTGACCTCCAACCACCAACAAGCCTATTCATCCAAGATACTAAAAGCCAAGCCAAGCCAGCCTTCTCCTGGTAAGATACAGTGGACCCAGTTCTTCAATCACGGCACACAGGATCACAGCTACTAGAGCAACAATTCTTGACAATAGTGTGGTGTGGTGTAGGAGCCCACAAACCAAAATCTTTTTTGCCACAAAACATTTGTTACCAGTGTTAATAACCTTGATTTTATTGGGGTCCGACCCTGGTCCTGAAAGGTTCAGGTGACCCAGGCCTGGCCTATCAGATATGGACATTCCTAGCCTCTTGGTAGTTGAGGGAGGGCACATGTCTCACCAGAATCATGTCAGACTTCATTCTGGGACTTTTCTAAAAAGGGACTGTCAGAAAGAGGAACATTTTTCCACTGAGATGGCTGAGAAGATGGAATGAAAGCCTGGCGCAGATGGCAGCCATACTGGCACCATGAGGGGAGAATCTGATG